CCCTGCAGGCAGAACTCGGGGTAAGAATTCAGGAGAGCCTCGCTGCGTTTATTGATCGGAGAGCTTGCCCGGTCAGCTGTGTTGCTGAACAAATATTAGCAGTCTTCATTCAGGAGAGACACGCTTTGAGTTTACGGGAAAACATGTGCGGTTCTAATGTCTTTTTACGAGTACTGTGGTTGTTTTTATGCCGCGCTATTGCAAGGTAAGCGAGGATCTGACATTGTTATGAAACTATTACATAATTATTAATTTCCGCTTAAGAATGACGCTTTAACGACGCTGTTATTCAAACCATTTGTTTGGTTATAGTTTCCCCTTTACGCCATAGTTTACTTTATAACGGCACAACAAGCCCGTGCAGATCCACGATTAATGCAGATGATTTTCTACCAGAAGATTCAAATGACCCATCGGTTGGGTTTTGTAACCCTGCAGGTGACAGCTCATGGACCACACGTGCTTACATTTTGCGGTTGCTGTAGGTGTCTTTATGTGCAAGACCATAATTCTGTGCGGATTATGCATTCTCTTCCTGTCTCCAGCGACATGAAGTGTTTTTTTTTTCACAAACAATTATTTTTCTCATGTCTAGCTGCTCTCCTTTAACCGCTGATCGTCAGGCAAACATAACCAGCATGCTGGGACAGCAGGCAGATCGGGTCATGGCCCTCGGTGAATGGGAGGAACGCTGGCAACAGAACAAAATCAGCTTTCATCAGCCTGAAGTGCACAAGTAATGACCCCACTTTTTATGTAGTTCAGTGGAGTAAAGGTGCAAAAGTAGCCCATAATGCATGTAAGACTTGTGAAGATTACATCAACTATAAAGGTGCATCACCACCTAAAGCTGTGTCCTGTTAAAAGCTTTAGGAAGTGAGCTTAGATCATCTATTTTTAAGACAAGTACCATCAATACGGCTGATCCAGACATCACCTCAACATGAGATTGCAGCAGGAATGTGTATTTTGCTGTTAATACTGTTTTTTAACAGGATGCTGAAGAAAAACATTGATAAAGTTCTCAATGGACGAACAGGAGTTCGCTTCTTCTTCCCTCTGTGTGGGAAAGCAGTAGATATGAAGTGGTATGAAAACATCTTACTAAATTAAATTAAGTTGATCGATATTAGTGTCAGTTGTCATCTTTGCTGACCTTTTGTTTTTTCGTCATTCTCAGGCTAGCAGACATGGGCCATTCAGTGGTTGGAGTGGAGATTTCTGAAAAGGCTATTCGTCAGTTTTTTGAGGAGAACAACATGACATACAGTGAGGAGCCTGTGCCTGCTATACCTGGAGCAAAGGTTTAC